TGCTTTTTTTTTTATTGAGACCTGGGATATTTCACTGTTGTAGCCTGTAGGACGGATGACTCCCACAGCACTGAATTGAACCAGAGAACCTTGATGAAGTCTTCTGCTGTCGCAGGGGGAGAAATAACACAGAATAAATGCTTGCACAGTCTTTGCCTCTGCCTTTTTTCTGTAATTCGTTCACATTTGTGAGGATGCAGAAACACAGCGGAACAAACTCGGGAAATCGGGCTAGAATAGCATAGCACGTCAGAAGGAAGGGAAGATGTGAAATCAGAAGCGACAAGCAGAGAGCAATTGTACCTGTTTTGCTGCCAATGTTACATAGTGGGACATCCTGGTAGGTGAGATGTTGTGGCACTTCCTCACACCAGAGGGCGCTCTTGGAACTTTGAAAGTGATATTAAGAAGAAATAATTCACAGGGCCTTATTGAATTTAGCCTTGCTTAACAAGCTGAACAGATTCTATTGGTATTGGTTTTGCTTGACACTGGTAAATAAAAGTGGAAGCTTTAAACCACTTTGAGTTCTCAGAAATGTTTGATTTATTTTATTTTCTGCACTGGCGCAGGTCAATTAGAACTTTGGTGGTGGTAGGAGAGCACCTGTGTTTCTAAGTACCAGATTTGAATGGAGAAATCTATCCGGTGTTTCATAAGTGTTTTGTATCCCTAGCATTCGTGTGGCAGTGATTCTGGTTAAGTAGGTTAGGCAAAGCTGTCTTCTTGTCCTGGTTTGCAAAGCATATTTGTATTTTCAGCTGTTTTTGGACTACAGTTCCCATCACCCCGACCCCTGGTTCTGCTAGCAAGGGAAGATGGGAGTTGTAGTCTAAAACAGCTGGAGACCCAAGTTTGGGAAACCCTGACATATTTGAAGCTACAGGCGGGGGAACTGTGACCTTCCAGATGTTGTTAGGCTTCAAATCCCATCAGCCTATAGGCAGTTGCCAAGGGATGATGGGGATTGTAGTTTAGCAACATCTGGAGAACAACATCTGGATTTACCAGCACTAAATCCAAAGCTGTGTGCTGACTGGTCCTTGACATAGAAGGCATTGGGTAGCTCATAGCTTGTGTCTGTGCATGTGAGACATGTGCAAGTTGTTTTTTTCAAATGTTACAGAAGAAAAGTGGTAGGATTAAGGAAGCATGGACAGAAGAAGCATGATTACTTTGCAGTTCTGTTTCAGCGTCTGTTGGGATGTCCTCAGCACATCCCACACAGGCTTTGTCACTGCATGCAAGAAAATATCAGCCTTGTTACCAACTAAGGTTCTTTGGACTTTTGCGAACTGCAGCTGAAGAATAGCTCCTAGCAAGCGCAGTTGATCAATGGCTTTTTATAGTGGCGTATGAAATTGGTGAGAACTTGAGCTGTGTGTGTTGTTAGTGAGAGGAGAGAAATGTGCCTGGGCAGAGAGAGAGGGAGGAAGACATGTATATGTGCATGTGCATGTGAAGTGTGTGTGTGTGTGTGTGTGTGTGTGTGTAAGAGAGAGGGGGCTAGGTGCATGTGTATCTGTGGACTGTATGTGTATGGTGAATTCATCTGTGTGCTCTATGTCTGTGTGCAAGAGAGTGTGGCCACCTTCTATGCTTTCCCTGGTACCAGTGAATGCTCCCTACTCTGTGTGTGTGTGTACATACCACAGACTCCCAATGTAAGCATTCGGGGAAGAGTGGGCAAGCAGCAATGACTAGTGTCTCTAGTTTTGTGCTGTGCCGTATCCTTACATTGTGTGCTATGCCACACAGCCCATGGTAGCCTTTTTGTAACTGGTATCCTTGGTACCAGTCTCAATTTTTTAATTATTTATAACTCGAAAGGATAATCTATAAAACAGCATACATTTTTATTAGGAATTTTCTCAACGAAGGGAGCCTGAAATCGCACAACCCTTATAGCATGTGGGGTTCTGCAAAAGGTTTAGAGGTTCAAAAGAGGTCCTCAGCCTGGCAGCATCTCTGCCCACTTGGCCTCGCCCATCTTTGCTGGATTCCTCCTCTGGGAACTAGTCCATGCCCTTTCCAAAGTGAGATGCTCCAAAGGTGGAGACAGGGTAACTGCTGGAGGTAAGGGCTTGGGTGTGTGTGTGTGAGAGAGAGTGGAATTGCTCAAGGTGTTCTGTTCTTGCCCCGATTCTGCTCACAACGATTTGAGCAGAGATGCTCACTTACAATTCTGTCTCACCCCTGCTTTGAACTCTTGACTGATCTGTAGCAAGTGAAAAACTCAGTTTCTTTGCCTGCAGAACCTGCTGGGTTTGATGCCACCCATTTCCAAGTATGTCTGGAAAGGGCCTCCTGTCTGAAATCTGCTGCCAATCAGTGCTGACGATACCAATCAATGGTTTGACTTGATTGATGCAGTTTCCTTTCCGACTGTTTTGGTTCCCGACGTTAGAGGAAAGAGACTCCCCGTGCTCTCAGGTCCCCCCCCCCACCTCCCGCTGCTGAAAGGAGAACATACAGATAAGAACACATATTTATTATCACAGATTAAACCATCAAGCTAGAAGACCTGCTAATTCCCCTCTCCCTCAGATCTGCAGTTTAGACTGTTATGCTTTAAATCAGCCAGGCTACCTAGTTCTTATTATTTCTGAAGACACTGCATCTTCTTATTCATTTGGGTCTCATCTCCCAGGAACAGCTACTAATCTACTCAGGCATCCCCCTGCCCCCATCCCCAGTCCTTTTAATAGAATGCTGGACTTTTGCAGCTGTTCCTCTGAAATAATTAGGGTTTTTTAAATAAAACACACACACAGTTTTGTGCTGGTTATCTATAGATAAATAGATGGATGTATACTGGAAGTATACGCCCTTTGCTTTGACAAGAGAGCTTCAGAACTAATGGTGAAATATTGGAAGTGTCTTGCAAACTGTCAGACCTTCATTTATAATTCTGTCAGCTATTTATGCCAGCCACTAATGACTAGAGAAGAGAAGGCATTTTGTTACTGGGTAAAAAAAGAAAAAAAATCTAAATTATATTCCAGACAGGTTGACACTGATGCCCCAAAGTGCAGGTTTGCAAGATAATTCCTAATCTCAATAGAAAAGAGGTGTCAAATTCAATTTCACTGAGGGACTGATTGCAATTTGCCTTTTAACTCCAGAAGTCCATTGAAGGAGGGAAATGGCTTGATTTCCCCCTCAAGTGTTTCCACAGCAACTTCCCTTCTGTCTGCAGTCTGTGCACAAATATCCAGCCCTCTGTATTCATGGTTAGGCTATGCTCTGAATCACAGCTCACTCTTTGTCTTCTAAATGTGAGGTTGTGCTGTCATATCGCATCCACTCGTACTGAGATAACACCTACAAGTTCATTTTGTGGACTGCTCTCCTGAAAATAACTCTGTGAAGTTTCATTCTGGGCCACTCTTGAGATTTTGTCAGAACGTTTTGCCCCCTAATCTAGTGCTTTTAAGGGATGCAAGGCACTGACAGCTCCCATTTCATAGCAGTGGTTAGGGCAGCACTTTGGGGTGCGCAAACATCCTTCTTCATTGAAATGAAAAGGCAATTCACAGCACACAGGACCTCCCTCTGCGGGTCTGTGTTGTTACTCTGCGTTGCTTCTAAGATGTCAGAAGGGAAGATACTTAGAGTTCCTGTCTTGTTGGTTTGATAAAATGAAAGTCATGGTCAAATGTGTGTGTGTGTGTGTATATACACACATACATACCGCATATATGTGTATATACCGCATATACACATACCACATCTATGCTCAGAGTGGTTCTCATAACTGAAGCAGTCCAAATACAGTGGTACCTCGGGTTACATATGCTTCAGGTTACATACGCTTCAGGTTACAGACTCCACTAACCCAGAAATAGTACCTCGGGTTAAGAACTTTGCTTCAGGATGAGAACAGAAATCGTGCTCCGGCGGTGTGGCGGCAGCAGGAGGCCCCGTTAGCTAAAGTGGTACTTCAGGTTAAGAACAGTTTCAGGTTAGGAACGGACCTCCAGAACTAATTAAGTACTTAACCCGAGGTACTACTGTATAACAGTGCAATGGTGATACATAATACAAAGTACATCATTACAATACAACAGTATAAAAACACCCCTATACCTAACAATTAACAGTTAATCACACACACCTAGAGAGATGAAATGTTCTTGGATGTGTGTGTGCATGCACACTCACCTCCTTGCACGCATGCGCACACACACACACTTGTGGAAGGAGCCTTCTTTGCTCTTCTGGCAGTGTGCAACTTCTTCTTTCCATCCCTGGGATACAGCATTTCCTTATTCTTACAACAAAAGTCCGACCTCTAACAGAAGATGAAAGATTTTAGATGGGTGCTGTGATTCATCTGTGACTTTCTTGAAGAACCATATGGTGTTTCCAAGCATGCATGCACATTATTCATTTAAATTCAGGGATGTAGTATCATGCAAGGCAAGGACTCATGGATTCACGATTAATCAGTCTGCACAGATGTTCCAAGATGATCAGCATCTAAACTGGGTATGCGAGGATTTGTGAGGTTCCACTTGAGCCTTAAACCAGCTTTTCCCAACCTGGTGTCCTTCAGTTGCTGTTGGATTACAAGTCCCATCATCCTTGGCCATTGGTACGCTGGTTGGGGAGTTATAGTCCAAGACATCTGAAGGGCACCATGTTGGTGACAGCTACATTGCATGGTTTATGGCTAGAAGGGTGTATTAAAATGTATGTGAAACCTTTTTTTCATAATGGAGTCAGCCCATGCCTTCTCAAAAAGGCAAGAGGAGGTAAGAAACTACCCTATACAACTACCCTATGTCTAGACAAAAATAATCTTCCAATTTTCCTAGGTCTGCCATTTAATAAACAGGAGCAACTTTACAGGGAATACCAGAGTCTCATTTTGGAACTTTTGACCAGTCTTTGTTGGCCACAGCTAGAAGAGGACCAGGCTTATTCTAGTTAGGCAGAGAAGAAATAAATCACAGGGGCCTGAATCTGTTATTTCAGAGGGAGCACAACGCAACCCAGAAGAAGCAAATGACCAGTCTCCCAGACACAGGAAATACTAACCCACACTGCCTCCTTCTTTCCATTTATTGGACCTTATCCAGGCTACCATTGCACCCAAACAAGAGTCCAGACTATGCACAGCCTCCCTCCCCCCTCAGATGTTATGAAGAAGTGGAGTTGTGTGTCATTAGTGTATGCCAGTTACTATGCTTCATATAGATGTTAATCAACACTGGGAACAAGACTGTAACTTGTGGCAAAGACCATGAAGCTGAAATACAGTCTCCCAATGCTAGTCTCCACACACGACCCTCTAGATAGGATTGGAACAGCTGTAAAACAGTGTCTCCAATGCCCATACCACAGAGTTGATCATGGAGGACACCAAGGTCTATGGCAGGGTTTCCCAAATGTGGATCTTAAGCTGTTTTTGGACTACAACTCCCATCATCCCTAGCTAGCAGGACCAGTGGTCAGGGATGATGGGAATTATAGTCCAAAAACAGATGCAGACCCAAGTTTGGGAAACCCTGGTCTAGAGTATCAAAGCCACAGAAAGATCGAGAAGCAGAAAGAGCCATACTCGCCTGTTCTTGATACGAGCCATCCATTATGGCAACGAAAAACTGTGTCTGAACCCAGATTGAAATTGAGGTAATTTGCATCCTCTGGGAACTCCTGTAATTAGGGAATTTACACTTCACACACCATAGTCTGCCAAGATGTAGCAAGTGCCTCTGAAAGTACTGAAAGGACTCTTAGCTGAACTAGCATTACATAACAAACAGGTTGATGAAAACAGGGAAGGAATGGGGGATTCTGCTGATGGGTGACAGACATTGGTCCCCACATGAGATGAAACAGACACTCATGTGTGTGTGCACACACAGGTGTGCAATCTAAGAAAATTGTACTTATTTTGGTCCTGAGAAAGATGGAGCTCAGCTAAGTTGATGAATATTAAAAACCCACCCCATTTCCACTACACCACTGTCTGTTGCCAGTGCCTTTGCTGTGACATTCAGATCATACCAAGAAACTCTGGAAGTGCCAAAACTGTCATCTCATGCGACTTTTTGTTATCCTCCTTTGTCTCGGCACTGAAAGGAGCTAACGGTTTGCCCTTCCCTCCCTACAGATTCACAAGCTGCAGCAGAAGGCTTGCCCTTTCTGCTGTTGAATAGCAGCACCAACTCTTCCACTTATTTGCAGTATGACCTTGAACAGCTCATTCATTTCTCCCCAATTTGCCCAACCATGTGTGTTTTTTTAAAGGGAGGCTCACTGTAGCATTACTCTGGTATTGTGTGGGCTGATTAGTTAAATTTTGAACAGCACTTTGAATGGATAAAGTGCTATTATAGTGGAAGCTGAAATGTCAGTCATTCTTTTTTTTTTAATATAGAGGAGATGAAAATTAACCTTTGAAATCTGAAAGCCACCTTGGTTGCTGAATAGATTTTTTTTTTTTTTGTATTAAAAGCTTTGTTCCACCTAGAGTTGGCTCAGCAGGGATAAGAAAAGGTTACTTAGCCTTGGCAGGAATTGCATAAATATAGGGTAATATTAGTAATTACATACATGAAGGCAGTATCCTTTTGTGATGCATCAATGATGGCTTAGCATAAGTTATTTGAGCTTATATTGCCTAAAGATACCTTGAAATCTAGAAAAATAATATATTCCTTTCTGTTAGGGTCTATATGCTAGCAGGGATGGAGCCTAAGCAATAGGGGAGCCCAGAGTTACTTGGAACCAGGGGATGCTTGTTTGAATCAAGTGGAGAGCCTTTCTAGGGAGAAGACATGGTTGCATGGGAACAGAGGAGTCAGTGGAATGCAGTGGTGAGTCCTCATGGGAGTGAAAGCCAGGGTTACCTGGCAGGGTAGGAGGCTAGATGGCATGGAGTGACGAACCTTTTTGAGAAAGGAGATGGGGAGCACCTGGAAGCAGAGCTGAGTGGATACAGTGCACTGCAGAGTTCAGATAGGAAGCCACAGTTTTTGGCATTGAAGGTCACCGGAGTCAATGAAATCAGGAGGTTAGTGTCGGAAGCAAAGCAGGCAGCAGGAGCTTACTTCACACACACTTCTTTGGTTTTAAGTAAATGCATGAATGCGTCAGTGGGGAAGAGTACTCTGATTCAACCTCCCATTGCCTCCATGAGTTGGAGCGTGGCCTTGTGAAGAGAGGAGGCTGCTGCATTCATGGAAGCGCCACACTTGTTTTACAGTCATGGAAGACCAGGGTTCTGAAATGTGCAGAGGCTCAACGCAGCAGGAGACTCTTCGTTCTTGAAGGTCACCCTCTATGAGTTGGAACTAGGCAACATGGATAGTAATGTGGCTCATCACTGTGCCGCCGCTCCCCTGCCCCCATGTTTACACATAAAGAATACCTGGAGAGGGTTTTGATCTATTCCAAAAGGGTTCTCCTTGCACATTCACAGTAATTTGGGTAACTTATTAATGCTTGTAAAAGAGCAAATTATTGGAATTCTAAAAAAAACAAAAAGAACAACCAACAACCCTACCCTGGCCAGGAATACAGTTTTCCTAGTAAGACATATTTTTAAAGTGTGGCTGTTTTTATCACAGGCTTTATAAATATTCAAAGACGTCTTGTCTGTAAGCCAAAGGCTTATCAGACTAAACTTGGGTAAGCCTAAATTAAAGTGAAAGCAAAGCTACCACATTAACGCTTAAAACGATGACATTAAATTACAAATGTAAAAGTCTTTATGAGCAACCAGAACTAACATGCCTCTATCAACCTGCACTGTCTGAGACCAGAATAATCAATATTTTCATTCAAACCAGGCAGAGCAATACAGTTCAACTTTAGTGTCAATTATGCTTCTTTCTGCAGCAGTAAATGGTTTGGAGTGTATTGAATCACTCAACTCAACTCACAGAATTAAAACTCAGTTGATGTTTGAGTAAAACTGTGAAATGGCCCATTAGAGGGGCACAATTCTGGTTTGTTGTTGTTTAGTCATTTAGTCGTGTCCGACTCTTCGTGACCCCATGGACCAGAGCACGCCAGGCACTCCTGTCTTCCACTGCCTCCCGCAGTTTGGTCAAACTCATGCTGGTAGCTTCGACAACACTGTCCAACCATCTCGTCCTCTGTCGTCCCCTTCTCCTTGTGCCCTCCATCTTTCCCAACACCAGGGTCTTTTCCAGGGAGTCTTTTCTTCTGATGAGGTGGCCAAAGTATTGGAGCCTCAGCTTCACGATCTGTCCTTCCAGTGAGCACTCAGGGCTGATTTCCTTAAGAATGGGTAGGTTTGATCTTCTTGCAGTCCATGGGACTCTAAAGAGTCTCCTCCAGCACCATAATTCAAAAGGATCCATTCTTCAGCGATCAGCCTTCTTTATGGTCCAGCTCTTACTTCCATACATCACTACTGGGAAAACCATAGCTTTAACTATACGGACCTTTGTTGGCAAGGTGATGTCTCTGCTTTTTAATATGCTGTCTAGGTTTGTCATTGCTTTTCTCCCAAGAAGCAGGCATCTTTTAATTTCGTGACTGCTGTCACCATCTGCAGTGATCATGGAGCCCAAGAAGGTAAAATTTCACACTGCCTCCATTTCTTCCCCTTCTATTTGCCAGGAGGTGATGGGCCCAGTGGCCATGATCTTCGTTTTTTTGATGTTGAGCCTCAGACCAGTTCTGGTTACTATGTATATTATTCTTAGGTTCTTCAATGCATTTCTCAGGGTCTAGTTGTTTTATCTACATGTAATTTATTACATGGGCATAAACCACATGAGAGCTGTTACTCATTGTAAAAAATTCCAGTACATATAATATTTGATTGAATGGATTTATAAAGTGCACCCTCTTAAAAATCAGATTGGAATATACGGTATGTTTATATATTAGTTATTTTATATAAGATGATAGAGTTGTCCTCTCAGCCAGGTATGTCCCTAACCAGATTCCATAACATCCATTGCATTTATTCATTGTTGTGCTAGTATTGTCAAAAATAAGACTGCAAACTGACACACTGATCAACTAAAGATTGAGTTGGTTGATCTGGCTACTAAATGGATTAAAGACTGTAGCCTTCCATTTTACACTTGGAATACTGCATTCTTTATGAGCTTATAGGCTCAACTAAATACTTAGTCCTGGTTCACTGCTAAAAGTGAAAAATCCAAAGCATTCTAAGTTGTAGCATGTTTTATGGCGGTGACAACCACTCTCAGTGTACTTAGTGTGATTACTCTGCTACCATACATCATGCAATAAATACACTGGATGATAACTCATGTCTCCCTTAATATGCTTTGGTGAAATATAGCTCTTAGTCTGATCAAGCAGACTTCCTCAGAGGGTATTTCAGTAGATATTATGTATGTAACAACAACAACCACAGCAGCAACAGCAACAAATAATAATAATAATAATAATAATAATAATAATAATAGAATGCCATTTCCCTCCTCTTTGCTTCAAATTTACCTCTGAGAAGGAGACACAAGGCTGAATATGTGGATCACACCAGATTTGGTATTTTGCTTCTGTTGACACCACTATAAGGTATTTTGTTCCAGTTTAGCAAAATGCCATTTCAGTATCACCATTTCTGAAGAACATGTCTGTGAGGTATTATAGTCGGGACCCAGATCTGCAAGCAACAATTTCAGATTTATTTTTATTTTTTACTTATTTATTACACACACACACACACACACACACAGAGCGAGAGAGAGAGCGAGCGAGCGAGCACTTAATTACTTACGGTTGCCTCTAAGCAGTGGACAAAAAACTAAATACAATGAAAACTTCTAAAATTATAAAATCAGATTTCAGTTAAAGTACCTGCTGGAATTTTTGTTTTTTAAAAAGTTTTCAGTAGGTGTTGGAATTTCAACAGGAGCCCATTTGACTGCAACTGGAAGGGAATTCTGTTTTCTGCGAGTCCTGAAACTGAGTGGTATCCAACTCAGTTTTACTCCAGACCCATTGAAATTAATGTACCTAATTTAGTTATTTTCATAATTTCAGTGGGTTTATTAAGAGGAAAAAGTAGTTGACTCCCACCCTTAATATTTTCCCTGGAGCTTCAGCCTAGATTGATGTCCTCTCAACCATCTTTGATACCTTGGTGTTCTCAGAAGGACTTCTGGAAATCAGGTTTTAGGTTTTTAGTCATTTTATTTTGCTTCAAAAAAGGAAAGAGAAACCACACTTGCTGTATAAACAATGAAAATCATAGTTTAAAAAATGACAAGCCAGGTTGATTTATTGCATGGGTAGGCAAACTAAGGCCCGGGGGCTGGATCTGGCCCAATCGCCTTCTAAATGCAGATGGTCCGGAAATTAGCGTGTTTTTACATGAGTAGAATGTGTCCTTTTATTTAAAATGCATCTCTGGGTTATTCGTGGGGCATAGGAATTTGTTCATCCCCCCCCAAAAAAAATATAAGCCGGCTCCCCACAAAGTCTGAGGGACAGTGGACCGGCCCCCTGCTGAAAAAGTTTGCTGACCCCTGATTTTAGGAAGGGAGCATCATTGTTTCATCATTAAAAAATCCAGAAATGTATATAATTATTCTAACCTCTTACCCTTGTTGAGGATCTAGCTGTACTTTATAACAAATTACTGTTTTCCAGAGATGATTTGGATACCCTTGCAATGTCTGCTATGCCTTGAGATTGAATAGCATTGGACTTAATTATGGCTTTCATTATGACAAATGGCTGATGAGTATGTTTCATACTACTAAAATCTAAGCCTTTTAAACAAAAATGTGTGATTGTTCCCCAAGCATTTGTCCTGTAATTGTTTCCTGTATTTTTCCAATGATGTAATCAACAGAGTGATTCTGTGTGACTTCTAGGGAAAAAAATACCATCCTTTTAAAATTTGTTTTTAAAGCATCATGATTAACAATGTGTTATGTAACCATCAGGAGGTGATAGATTGTTCAGTTGTATGAAGGTCTGAATAGAACATTGTATTAGATTTCTGTGAAATGTGCCATTTATGCTTTTCTCTCTTTTCTATGCTCAACGTTATTCTTTTCCTTTTTAAATAGGGTAGTAAATGACACAGTATTTAAGTTATCTACTTTGGAGTAAACAATGACACCACAGCCACTGCTTCTCAAACATGGCACGTCAATTTCTTTTTAAACTTTAACTAGATGCAAAAGAAATTTAAATCCTCTGTTTATTGATCCTCTCTCCAGATTTTGCAATCCCCACGTAAGGTAATTTTATAATTTTTTGTTGTAAAACAAGCTCCATAAAGGGGAAACCTGACAGTCGTTTTGTATATATTTCAGCAGCAGCACAATCAAACTAAAGGAGGTTCAAAGTAATGAAAATTTTGTCTGATGTTTTCCAGAAAAACAAGCTCCTCTAGAGGTCTGGCCACTAATATAATAGAATGTCGTTACCTGCAAGCTGTGCCGTTTTTAGTGGTTTATTTGTATTCACTCAAAAATGGGACAGCTCATCAGCAGAAACTAGATGAAATGGGAACATTCAAACAATATCTGCATTGCTTATGTCGTTCTCCCGGTTTTTACTTTTGGGTTTTAATATAATGTAGAGCAGAGCAACTTCAGAAGAACATGAGACTCCTCCATGAATACTGAAAATCATCGATACATTGCATGTCTCTGATCTTAAAGTCCTCTGTAAAAATTTTTGAAAGGGTACAGAGTACAATGCTCATGTGCTGCCTGCATCTTACTTATGATTTTGCCCCATTTCAGCCATTTCCTCAGATCATCTTCATCAGTGATAAGGGGATGTGAGCTAACTAAGCCTGGCAGGACAGCTTATTCTATGGTCTTAACACCTTCATGCATTAATTGGGCATGTTGGTTATATGAGGCTGATTATCCCACACTGTGGCTGAGCAGAGACTTGAACCAGTGTTACCAGTCCAGCACACTAGGCTAGTGTGATGTAGGTATGTTGGGTGCCTCCAGTGTGCTTGTATTTTACAGGAGGGGTTGAAGTACATACCAGAACTTTAGGTTTTCCACAATTTAAGTGAATTAAATATCTCTGTTATTCCTGAAGCAAAGCATGGGAACCCATCAGGGAAAGTAACAGGGAAGAGCAATGCTGAAGATGGAAATTAATGCGAAGTAGAGGGATACTCTCCATTTTGATACAGCATGAGCTGTTCTGTGCTTGGCATATTATGTACATTTAGTATTCAGTGGCTATCAGGAGATAGCCACTCCAGTTCATAAAGCAAGTTAAATCCTGACCCCATGTCAAATATCTGAAGTGATGACCTTCAGACCAAGGAGGCTTTTATAATTTCATTTCCCATCAGTCACCCATGCATCTTCTTTCTGGCAGAAATACTGTGTAAATCATCCTTAAGTTTGATTAACATGAACCTGTTGCACAAAGAGAATTGTGCCTAGAGAGGAAGCAGAAGGACGCCAGGCAGGGATATCAGCTCTGGAGAACATTGAGATTTTGTAAATTCAGGGAAGAGTTTCCCCAGACTTATCTGTCAAGGCTGTAGAGTAAAGCCTCATTAACCCAAAGCCAGTAAGAGGTGCCAGGAAAAAATGTTCTAGCCACAACAACAGCAAGGACTGACAATGAGTTTTAATGAACATAGCAAGATTAGTTCAGTAGTAGCATTAGAAGAAATATATCCTCATGAGTAAGTGAAAACAGAGATGGGTTTAGATCACAGATCTCACTGATAAAGGGCCCATGTGTCTCATAGGCAATCATCCTATTGGCCATTGTAGAAGCCAGAAGTGGTTTCACCATTATAGGCCTTGGGAACAAAGGCTCAAAATGGTGCTAAAAATCAAAAGTTATCCAATAACATGCCCCTTATAAAATACTGAAAATGTTTCTGTTGAAGACAACATGAATTTGATGATATGGCACAAGTTTAGTAGCTGCTTCAACATGTATAGAAATGCACTAATATTTGAGATACCTAATTAGAAGTGGGTTTGGCAAAAAGCTTTTTGTAGAAATTGGCAAATATCTAACAAAGTTTTTGGGATACTGACCGTGTCAAGTTTCTCTTTTAAGGTTAATTAGGATGGTCTCTCCCTTTTACCACGAAAACCTTACTGTTTTGTAGGTAATGGCATTCAAAATGGAATGATTAAATCTTCATGTCAAACAAATTGTTATAATTAACATGCACTATAAATTGAAGCCCTTATTTTGAACTACTGTATTCAGAAATTAGCAACGAGAAGCTCAGTGAAACAAAGGCAAATTGCACTGTAAATGAAACACCAGATTATAGGAGTGATCTTTGAAAATGATTCTAGTTCTGGAATTGCCATATGGTCAATGACACATTGCCAATATTTTAGCAAGAAGCTGTTGCAGAAATGTTCTCCTTCCTGTGAGCTTTAAGCTCCATGGTTTTGTTTTTGTTTTTAGAAAAGAAAGAAATGAAGTGACTCAGAATTGATTTGCTGTCCACCTTTCCCCTTCAAACAAAGTGCAGTGTCACAGAATGAAGGGGGGAGGCATGGGGAGAGATGGTGTACACGTTTCTGCTTTGTGTAATTATTATTATTATTATTTTCATTTTTGACATGTATCACTTGTTTCACTGATGCAAAACATGCTTCATTTGCTACGGGAGTGTGATCTGAGAAACACGGTTCCTTTAAAAACAAATTTCAGATAACATTTATTAGTTTTCAACTATGCCATTGTGGCACAATTCCCCCTCCGAGCAACTGGTGGGGTGAGGCAGAAGCCGCCATGTTGTTTCAAGTAGGTGTGGCACTGTTGCTTACGGGGGGGAGGGAGGGGCAATGTGATGCAAACACACTGGCAGGTGCTCTGGATTGGCTCATCTCGCGACACACCCGCTGGAAGCTAGCATAATAGGTCCATCCTACCCAGCAAGCTTCCACTGGAGTACACAGCTGTCATTTCATTTTACCCTCAAAACAAAGTCGCAGAGGTGAATTTAGGGCAGCTCAACCAGTTCTGTCACACTGGGCTTTGAGCCTGGGGTCGCTGCAGAGCACCGCAACTATGATGTGTAGTGAATTGAGCAAAAGGCAGCGGGCACTGAATTTTGGCCTCACAAAGTCTGCCCCTGCTCTATGGCATAACTTAGGCTGAGATAAAGAGTCTGAGCCAAAGTCATCCAAGGATCTTAATGACCAAGGAAAACAAGAGCACCAGCATCCCAGGTCCAAAACTAACCCTCTGTCCTCTTGTCTAGCACTTTCTTTCTTTTTTAGTGAGGTGTAATACTCGTATCCCTTCTCACACCCCTGCCTCTTCGTTTTCCTCTAGCACTCCTTTACACAGATGATATATATGCATCTACCTCTATCTACGAATCATTTGAGTGCTGACTGCATGCTGAGGCAGCAACCCAGCTGTGTCACAATCTGCACTGAGTCATTTGAGAATTAACTGCAAATGAACTATGGAATCTACAAAGCAGACCGATGTGACTGCCCTCCTGGTATTTGCATAGGTTAAGGAGCCAGGTTTTCCCATCCCACGCCACCCCTGATTTGTAAGATATTTTATACTGCCCATGTACACCCCATTGCCAGTTGCAATGCAGCAGCAACCCCCAAAGAGCAAATGCATCTAAACATAACACTGCCACTGATGTTACTTCCCTTATTCTCTAGTTCCCCACTAGGCTCTTGTAATTCATTGTCATTTCATTGTACTGTCTCTGCACAAGACCAATGCTTTGTAAGGGGAGTGGGCAACTGGAACAAGACACACCTTGATCAAGAGGTCAGTTGCGGGATCTTTTCCCAGAAATAACTGAATCCTACCTTCTGCCTCTCAGTCAGATAGACTTTTCATAGGATAGCTGGAAGAAGAGAGGAGAGCAGTCTGGTTTTGTCTTTGGCTCTGGTTCGCCAGAAGCAGCTTAGTCATGCTGGCTACATGACCTGGAAACTGAACTCTGGCTCCCTTGGCCAATAAAGCAAAAAGAGTGCCACAACCCCAGAGAGCAAAGCACCCCTGTTAGTTGCTACTGCCTCTGGGGGTTACATGCCTGTTGTGGACAGGGCCAGAGGCAAAAGCGAGTAGAGCACCATATGTTGTTGTTGTTTTTTTAATATTTTATTAAGGATTTTCTTGTTTTACAGAAGTGTAGTGCCTCATTTTTGTTTTTGTTTTCCATGTAACATTTTTACAAATCCGTTTCATTTGTTGAGGCATTAGGGGGAGAAGAAAAAAAAGAAAAAGAAAAAAGAAGGGGGGTGGAGAGAGGGAAGATGGATGGGGGTGGGGTCGGGTGGCGGTGTTTCTATTATGTTTAATGTATGTAGAGTTTGGTGTCAGCGTTGCTTGTGTTGTTCACTTGTGTTCCTTTGGTGGTGAGAGAGGTTGGGGTTGGCCTAGGGTGTGATTGTTTGCTTGTGATTGGCTAGAGCACCATATGTGAACGTTACCACTCTCTATCTTGCACCCAAGAAACCAAGAGGCATTACCAGAGTTCAGGAACACATTCCAGCCCGGCAAAATCACTCAAGGAGAGTGCAAAGCAGGGCAGGTGGATGGGGTGTGGCTTCGGGAGAGTCCCAGGAGCTAGAGAGGCCTGGAGGGCTGCTTTTAGCCCCCAAACCTGAGATTCCCAGTCCCTGTTGTATAGGCAGTGGATAGATTTTCAATGCAGCTGTGCACAATTTAACTCTGAAGGAATTCCCACTGTAGCTTGCTACCAGGTAAGTATGCATTGGATTATAGCAGGGGTGGCCAACTCCCAAGAGGCTGTAATCTACACTACACGCAGAGTTAAAAACTGGCAGGGGTTCAGGTCAAAGTTGTTGAGCTTTTTTCAGGGAGGAGGAAGGCACTGTTTTTTAGGAGTGCAGACCAAACTTGTTGAGCTTTTTTTAGGGGAGCCAGTGATCTACCACAGAGGTCCAGTGATCTACCACTAGATCACGATCTACCACCTACCTGTTGGACATGCCTGGATTATAAATAGTTTTTATCTTGCAGCACAGGACTTTGGCTTGAAGCCACTGCTGAGATGTTCTATAGCAAGGATGTACAACTGGTTGACGACGATCAGCTGGTCGATCTACGGGTTGTTTGGGTTGACCGCAGTCGATCGTGGGCTCTTTTTCCTTTGTGGGGACAAAATAGGATTTGGCCCCGCCCCCTCACCCCCTCCTCCATTCATGCAGGATCGCTAGAATGGAAGACGGAGCTTTTTCTATGAGGCTGTTTGTTTCCTGATCGATCTATTGGTGAGCGGTTTTTTCCTTATCCCCCAAAAGAAACCCCCAGAAAAGGTCAACATACCTTCCTAAAAATCGCTCAACAACTTTGACCTGAACGCCTACAAAATGGAGTAGATCACTGCCAGTTTTTTATTCTGTGAGTAGATTGCAATCTCTTGGGAGTCGGATGTCCCTGTTCTATAGGGTTTTATTTTGGGGGGGGGGGGTTTCCTTTAAGATGAGCTCCATTTTTTTTATACATGAAATTTATAAACTGCTTGATTGTAAAAAACACACACAAAAAACCTCAATGCAGTTTGCAAAAATAAGACAATTAGATTAACAGTTATCAACAACAACAGGTAAAAGCAACAATCCGAAACCTCCAAAAATGGTTAAAATTGGTGATAAGCTAAACATCACAGTAAAGCACATGCCAACATTCTTCATGTCTGGATAACGTTGCCTAAACAAAATTGTTTCAAGCAGGTACCACAAAGGGTAAAAGGAAGATGCCTGTCTGATGTCAATAGGCAGGGAATATGGGTGCTTCCACACTAAAAGATTGATTTCTTACAAATGTGGAATGACTATTATGTTTCACCTGTAACAGTACCAGTTCTACAGATAACAGCAGTTGCAGGGGCATATATGGGGCTGAGGTGATCTCGCTTTCCCTTTTTAAGAGTATAGGGTCACTGGTTGCCCTATCCTGAGTGATAGCCTTATAATAAAACTCTTCATTAAGTGACGTTGTCATATTCCTGGGCATAGCAAAGGCAACCTTCCTCCCCCTCCAATCTTGGTGTGGTAATTATTTAATGGCATTGGATCCAGAAGGCAATTATTGGCAGTCATTTGTAAAAGCAACCACTTGGCAAACATTCTGGACAGAATAGCAGTATGTCGGGAGACATAAGGAAGAGAGTAAGAGACCCACCCCTTTCTTTCAATAAAATATCTGCCATTCCAATTAATGGGTGCCCACACTGTGCTGAGAAAGCTGTGGTAGTAATTAAAACTGTCTCCAGCAGCCACTGCCAAAACAAATCACACTGCTGTCCAGCGCAGCAAAAAGAAACCAGCAACAACCCTCCTCCTTACTGACAAGATACTCATTCTCTCTTAATGCCTGGTAGAAGGAAATTACTGCTGAACCAGGTGGCCTCATCAAAAAACACCCATCTCCTTATTGTCGGACAGGAGCTCCAGCTGGTTATCAACAACACTGCTCTTGGCCTGCTTCTTTGCAGCAAAAATCTGGGGTTTCACAACATTGATGTTTGGCTGTAGATCAAATCTTGTTTCCATGGCTATTAGTACTTTCACTGCTCACAGCACTATAAATGTACTATAGGCAGACTCATTGATGGCTTTGGCCAGTACAGTTTCATTGTTACTTTGCAAATTTAATAAACCCTTTAACTTTTATTACATGGTAGCTGGTGGAATATATACACTGCAGTCTTTTTAATGCCTAACAGGGAATAGGTTCTATTGAACACTGTGAAACGTAATACTAAGTAAACATGCATAGAATTGAGGTGCATATCTTCAGCCAGCATCTGAAGCAGTGAGCGCTGTCTCTGGTTCAAATTGCATTGCAGGCATGAATTTAAAGTGCAATACTATAGTGCAATACTATAACACCATAGTAACTTTAGTAAGTAATGCAATACTGAAAGTAAATTCCACTTCAGTTATTTGCATGAGAGTGCAGCCCAAAGTTACCTTAGGGCAAACCACTCTTATTTGTGTTTACCTGGAACTAAGATCCACTGTGTTCATTGGGGATTATTTCCAGATGAATGTGCACAGAATTGTGGCCTACATAGCTATCTGTAGTAGGGGACTAATAACGCTGGTCTACCCTGGATTGTTATTGTAAGAATTACTGAGATAACGCAGGTGATGTGAAGTTGTCTGTCAGTAGTTCTCACCTGGGCTGCAGAATGAGCAGGACCGTGAGTCTCTGGGTCACAGTTGTCTTCACTAGAGTGAGATGCATTTCTATTTACATTACACTAATTATTTCTAAATCTGCATTGTTACAAATAAATTAACATGGGCAATCTCTTCCCCACCCCACCCCACCCCACCCGCCTTTATTGATGATGCATAAGTGGACATCCTCAGGGGAAAGAATACTGGATTTGAGCCAGGAAAACATGTTAAAATGCTGCTCAGCTACAAAAGTGCATTAATTGTCCTGGGCCAGTCAATATCTGTCAGCCTAATCCACCTTGGAGGTGCATTGTGAGGATTTATTTATTTATTTAAAGAATTTTTATCCTGTTCTTCAGCAAAACAAAAATAAAGTGTCAGTGTGATTTATAAATATCAGTAATAAGACATTCCCTACCCCAGACATGACACAAAAAAGAAAAGCGAATGGGAGGGTAGAGGGGGGAAAGCAAAATGGAATCAGAATTTACTGCCCTGAATGCATTGGAGTGTATTGGAGAAAGAGGGAGTTTAAACACAACCCATAAGTAAATTTCAGAGGCAATGAATCTGTGATGCTTCTCTTCCCTTTAACCCTACAACTTTGGATGTTTGGTCCTCACATTTTAGAAACATTTTTAATTAAAAAAAGAATGGTGTTCACAGGGAGGATTGTTCAATGTCACTGGACAGCAAAATGATTTCCAAAGTGCAGCGATAGTTCTGCCACAAAATTGGCATTTTTCTTTATTTAAAAAAAAAATCTCTGACGAAGGAAAGCAAATTTATTAGTATAAATTCCAAATTAAATCCCTGCGGAAGGGACAAAGCTTCTAAAAAGAACGTTTCTCTAGTTAATATGCACGATCATGATGTATTTTATGCTTCAAAGAGTTGAGAATTAATACTGGCAGTAAGGCCTAGATCTATATGGGGGTGAGTGATAGATTAAGCACAAGGGATTCTAAAGTAGATTAGAACTGCAGATGTCTGTATTATTATACATCAAAGTTCTGAATGAAGTTGCCGTATGTCTCCTATAAAAGCAGAGCTGATTATATTATATAGTTTATTCTCTGTTGGTCGGACACCTGTCCATTTTAAGTAATTCACTTTGGCGTTTCATATTACCCATTGTGCTCTTCCTCAGGTAATAAATGCAGGGGCAGACTTAAGGTTATGTGTTTAATAGGCCACCTGAGCTAGTTTTTTGTTTTTCTAAATGCACAATAGGTACAATATAAATAGACCAATATTTAGGACCCCCTTCTCTTGGACTAAGAGCATGCAGTATTTATAACTGCATTAAGCAACAGGCAGAATGGAGTGGATTTAGCTATAAACATGTATGAGGAGAAGGGACTGTCTCATTTGTCCTTGGACTCTTCAAAGAAGCTCAATAAGTGTCTTTTCATAGGAATGTAAGGAACTGCCATTGTCAGTCAAGCCATCTAGTTCAATACAGTCTACACTGACTGACAGAGATTCCTCAGAGTTTCAAACTGGTGATCATTCCTAGGCCTATCTGGAGATGCTTGGGATTGAACCTGGTACCTTGTTTATGGAAAGCAGATGTTCTACCTTGTCAGGAAACTACAGATCAGTCCAAAATTTTCACGTCAGTCTGTCCTCCTGCAGGCAGGTATATGCTGTTTTATAGGCCTTTGGAAAGGTTATAGGCCTTTGGAAACAATTTTTTTTTTTTTTAAGGAAAGGGTTTTTAACTGTGCTGTGCTGTTTTATCATCCTCATTTTAACATATTTGTTTTCATATTGTTTTAACTCTATTACAGTTTATTTGTTTTTAATGATTATCTCTTATATGTGTTTTGTATTTCATCTGTCTTGTTTTGATTTGTGTAAGTCGGTCTGGGAAAAATGGTGAGATATAAATAATAATAAATACTTTTGAAGCCTTGTAAAGAAACCCATAAAGATTCAGTACTGGTTTTGTGCATAGGTTTGTGTGTGGGTGTAATTCTAGACTTTGCTTTGGGCACCTAAATGACAGTACAACAGGTCTAAACAGGGATGGGCAGTTGGGTGCATGATCCAAAAACATAAAATGCAACAACCTAATCGAAGTAAAGGAGATTTGGCTGTGGTTCAGTGCCTGGGTGGGAAATCACTTGGTAATTTTCAGGTTCCCTTGAGTTTCATTATAGAGGAAAGGCGGGGTATAAATGTGCCAAATATATACAGCTTCAAGGTGGTCAGCTCTTGACAGTGCTGATTATCTCTGGAGGACTGATGCCACATCCTCCCTCCCAAGGGATTGTCAGTGTCAAAACTAACAGCCTCCATAATCTGTATAGGAAGAAAGGTTATTGCACTTATCAGCACGTGTGCAGCTTGTAGGAGGAACTGGGAACCTGTGGCCTGCAGCCAGTCTGTTTACAAAACATAATGTGGCCTGTGGCGATACACCAATGATATATTTTATTGTAATTTATACATTACAATATTCTGAAGGGACTTAAAAGATGGGAAAACAAGACATGCCTTTTGGATAACGCAAAATAGTGACCGTTGTGACAAATGCTTTAATGTTCACTGCTCATGTTGTGACCTTTAAAACTGCTCCAAACTACAAAAGTGCTTCTAAGCTAAGAACACAAAAAGAGAGAGAACATGGTGTGTGTGTGTGTGTGTGTGTGTGTGTGTGTGGCAGAGCCAGTTGCTATTGGAATAAAGTAATAGATGTAAGAAGGAATTCTGCCTGACTAGACTTAACGGAAACGAATACCGACCTATTAGGGAGAAAGCAGGGAATGTACCTCAGTGCCTCACACGATTCCTGTTCTGTCACACCCATTTTTACAGCCTTGATAAGGGCAGGCCAGATAGCTGTGTGAGATCTTGATTGCCTTTGGGAATGGTGCCTTATGAATCATTCCTACCTTGGAGTTCTTGCCGCTGCTTAAACCTCCCCTGGCCATGGTGAAAAATGTCAGCTAGAGCTCCTTTTCTCCCAATACTGAGCAAGCACGGAGATGCTGGGAGAGGAGCTTATTAATTTTTGGGGAGTAAGGGACCATGTTCCTGTCATAATGAAGCTTTCAGCTTTGCTTGAGAAGACAGATTCATTCCCTTTGCTGGCTGTCTGACAAGAACTTTGTTGGGCCGGGAGCCAAGTGCTACACAGAGGGATGAAGCCCTTCTAACACCTTGGATAGCTCTAAATTAAGGAATGTGCATCACACTCGTAGTAGCCTCCTTTCTCCCCTATCTGCACTCAAGCCCTTGGAACTTGAAAACTGAATTGCTCATGTTACGCTGGGCTTTTTTCCCCAGCTGGAAACTCAGTTCTGGTACCTCTCAAGTGAACACCATTGCCATTCTAAGAGAATGAGGGGGGTGTTCATGGTGAGTTTGGCACCTCTTTTTCTAGAAAAATAGCACTGATTTTAAGCACATTTTGGGGTGGAAGGAACCTTCCGCAGTTTATTCTCATTAGCAAAAAAAATATCTCAGCCTCATGTGCAGGATTATCCCTTGGCAGTTCATGGGAATAATAATAATAATAATACAAACAAAGCCACTGGCCAGGATGATTGTGGCAGTAGGCCTTCCCTCCTCTGGTGGGTAAATGCCATGGCAATGAAACAGGCGATTGATTATGCATACATAAACCAGATGAGGAGAGTTAGTTGCTGAGCGTTGCTTTGCTTATCTTAGGTTCAATTTATGGGGCACCTGAAAATGCAGCTTTTTATAAAATCACAAGGAGCTAGCACTACTCTGAGGGAATGATTTACCCATTATAAGCTTACTTTTCGGAGATTGTGGCAGCATCTAAGTTAGTAGTGATGTGTACAGATGTTCTCATTGTGTTTTTCTGAGGAGTACTGTTGTAATATGTCTTTCAGTAAAGCATGTGAAATGGAGTCAAAAGGAAAGTATGCTTAGGAAATATTTGGCTTTGATGTGGAAATGGGATTCGTATCTTGCCTACAGGTGTGTAGGGGGGGAGAGAAGTGTTCATTTGCAAGTCTTCTTATTTACATGTATCTATTATGAGCTAATCCCAAATTTACCTGCAGTAAATTTGCAAATTGTGAAGTCTGAAATGCAGGGTTGTAGCACCAATGTGCATGTGAAGCATTGTGCCCCTGAGCCACAAGCTATAGTGATGGAAGTTATAGATGTAAATTCCTTGGCAGAAGATGGCCTTTAAAATCTCTCTCCCCCCCCCATAATTTTTTTTAATAAAAAATTAATCTATTTTATAATAGGCTGTTCTGTGCCCAGCAACTGTTTCTTGTGGATGGCTTATGTCCAATTATTCATTTCTCATCTCCGATTTAACGGCATTTTCTTTAGGTTTATGATTTTATAATAGCTTACCTTTTGCCTCTGGCAGGTTTGGGGCCTGGGATAATAATATAGACTATGTAAATATATTGTTGTTGTGTGGTAATGTGCCTAATTACTGGCAGAAGTCTCTCGTAAGCTGCTGTACGGAAGGCTTGATCGGAGAGACACTATAGCTGGACACAAATGTTTGTTTAAAACCTTGTTGCTTTGGGAATGAAGTTAAAGCTAAAAGAAGATACAACTGCCTAGACTGCATGCACAAGGTGGAAACACAATTTTCAAGCTGGAATTTCGGTGCTTTTCATTTAGGTGTTTGTCTAGTATTCCTAACACTACAACTGCTAGCCACAACAAAATGCTGCAGTATGGACTGCCACCTCTGTAAGATTCCAGCCACATCATTCCGTTTCGTCCCCTAACTGGTTTGCGGTTTCCCCCAATAGCCAATCAGCATTTTGTGTCTACTTAAACACGCTTGGCTATTTTAGGGCATTCCTCCATTCCTTGGTGCCATTGAACTCAGTGGGACTTACTTCTGGTAGCCATGTGTAGAGTTGCACTGTGAGCACCAGTGCAATCTGGGCAGCATGGGTGCTCCTATAACCCCTATTTGAATAAAGTTGAAAATTCCTGAATTCACTGTTCAGTTCTCCAGAATGGCTTCTTCTTTTCTTTTTCTTTTGAGGTGGGTGGGAGAATGAATGCAAGGCAAAATTATTCCCCTACATTTTACCAATTAAAGTGACAACATTAATCTAATCAGTGCTACAGTTTTCTTCTGACTGGATGATTCTTTCAGTACTTTTTTTAAAAAAAAACGGCAACATGAAATCCCCTCTTATTCATCATGCTTTACTGTTAGCACGACCTCCCCACAAATCTTTTTATTCTTCTTTTCATCCAAACACCAGTCAATTCCTATAAACCAAACTTTTTGTGTGGTCTTCCATGAAGCGAAAAGAAAAACCTTCCTGATGTTGTGTGTCAGAAATGACGGATAGTGTTCCAGAAAAAAGAAATTGTGGGTTCTTAACCTGCCCCAGCTAAAATTAATGGCAATGCTCTGATTGATTTCAGAGGAAGAAAGATTGGTCTGGTATGAGCTGTGAGGTATCTCGTAAAACTGTTTCATCAGCCTTTTTTCACCTGCCCAGGTTGATTAGTCCAGAATAAAGACCAAGGAAAGTTCCTTAGAGATTTCTTGAGAGACACTTGTGCTGTTTGCAACTCATGTAACTATGCACTGGGCACCAGATCCATGGGTCAGTTTCAGATTTGTGGTGTTAGGGCTGATCTGCGGTGTGTCAGTGGTGCAATAAACTCATCTGGTCTACAGTGTGGAATGGGCACGCCTGCTGGTTCCGTTGCGGGATTGGTGTGTCTGCTGTGACAATTGCTGTAAAGGTGCTGAATTATCCTGCGCTATATTGTACTTCTTTAAATAGTACTGTCACAAAGAGAACAGAAAGTACCTAAGAGAGATGCAACTGTAAGTAGTAAGCACTGCCCCTTATTTGTTGTTTTCTTCAGAGGGGTTTATCTTCCATTGTGCAGTCTGAATCATGTTGTTGTCTTTATTAGGATTTCATGAGGAATGGACTGAGCCAAGTGTCTCCTGTTTTAAACAGAGGATGACCCAGTTTGTACAATCCCTTTGCACTTGGCCATGTCAATTAGGCCTGCAGTGTGCCTTGAGTTTGCACTGAAGTGATTGCATGATTGCAAAATAGCAACACTGCCCTGCTCATGATAACTTCAAAACTGGTTTGCCGTCAACATTGTGATAACCGTTTCCTAATATTTGACCTGACTATATATTGCGAATCATGATGTTTGCATGTACTATGTTAAAGATCACGACATGGGAAAAACCGTGAAGCTGGCCATCGCTTCTCTCATGATTCCTTGTCACCTTTGTTGCTCTGTTCTGTAAAATAACAGTTGTAACAATATGTTAAAGGTAAGTAAAAATGCATCAGTTTTAGACTCCTAAGTAGTAGCAGTTGCCAGGGCATTCCATCTTTCGCCTCTACATAGTTTTGTCCTTGGATGACAACCGTAACTGGCCTGGAACAGGGTCTGCTGGGTGGACGCATTCACCGCGTTGTTGTAGGCGAACTTCGCCAATGCTAGGTGGTCGACCCAGTCATCCTGCTGGTAGCTGCAGTAACACCGGAGGTACTGCTCCAGCACCGCGTTTGCCCGTTCCGTCTGGCCATCGGTCTGTGGGTGGTAGGCTGATGAGAGACAGACCTCTGTCCCGAGGGTCGGGTGCAATGCTCGCCAGAACCGGGATGTGAATTGAACGCCCTGGTCGGACACCACACGCTCAGGTAGGCCATGCAGGCAGAAGACATGCTGAAGGTACAGCTGAGCGGTTTCCTTAGCTGTGGGTACGGATGGGCAGGGGGCACAGTGCACCATCTTAGTGAAATGGTCGGAGAAAACTAGAAGGCAGGTACAGCCACAAGACGGGGGTAAGTCCACTACAAAGTCCAGCAAAACCGTGTGCCAAGGACGTGGTGGGACTGGCAACGGCTGAAGTAGGCCGGGGGGTCGCCCGGTAGGGCCCTTGGCCCACCGGCAGACATCACAACCAGCGACGTAGCGAGCCACGTCAGCCTTCAGGCGGGGCCACCAAAACTCACGGCTTACCAGATGGGTGGTCCGATACCACCCAAAGTGTCCCGCTGCTGGGGCATCATGGGTCATCTGGAGAACCTCAGCCCGCAGTGGCCCTGGCGGGATGTACAGGCGACTGTGGTGCAGCAGAAGGCCCTGATGCAAGACCAGCCCCGGATACTGAGGGCATGACCCTTCGGCCAGTTCCCGGAGTCGTTCCTGGGCCCAAGCGTCGACCCGCTGCTGTTCCCGCACCCGAGCCTGCAGTGGCTCAGCCTCCTGGGTGGCCAGGAATGCAGCCCGTGGTAGGATCGTGGTGGGTACTGCTTGCTGTACCGTGTCTGCGTTGTCTTCAGGTTTCCGGGACAGGGCATCCGCCTTCTGGTTTTGGGAGCTAGGGATGTAGCGGATCCGGAACTGGAACCGGGAAAAGAACAACGCCCACCGGATCTGCTCTTTGGTTCACCTTCGGGTGGTCTGGAGGTACTCCAGGTTCCGGTGGTCGGTTCTCACCTCCACCGGGTGTCATGCCCCCTCAAGATGGTGGCGCCAGACCTCAAAGGCCACCTTGATGGCCAGTAGTTCCCACTCCCACACGGTATAGTTACGCTCCGCTGGAAGGCGCTGGTGGGAATAGAAGGCGCAGGGTAAGAGTGGCGCATCAGGTCCGTACTGCTGAGACAAGACGGCACCGAGAGCCGTACTGGAGGCGTCAGTCTCTACCACAAAGGGTTGAGAGGGATCAGGATGTTGCAAGATCGGCACTCTCTGGAAACAGGCCTTCAACTCCTCCTCTGCCTCCTTGTCCCAGGAAAACGGCGTCTTGGGGCGCAATAGCCGGGTCAATGGGGTGGTGCGATGAGCATAATCTGCAATGAAGGTCCGGTAATAGTTGGTGAACCCCAGGAATCGCTGTAGGTCCTTGCGGTTCCGAGGTGCCGCCCATTCCTGAACCGCTGCACCTTCCCAGGATCCATCTGCACCCCATCTGGAGAGAGTCGGTGACCAAGGAAGTCCACTGACCGCTGATGGAACTCGCACTTGCTGAGCTTCGCATACAGGCGGTGCTCCCACAAGCGCTGCAGCACGGTCAGGACATGACCCTCGTGGCGAGCCGGGTCACGGGAGAAAACCAGAATGTCATCCAAGTACACCACCACGTACTTGTCTAGCAAGTCCTGGAACACGTGGTTGATGTACCGTTGGAACACAGCGGGCGCGTTGCACAATCCGAAGGGCATAACCAGGTATTCGAACTGCCCGTACCGGGTCCCGAATGCTGTCTTCCACTCATCCCCGGCTCGGAACCGAATTAAATTGTAGCCCCCCCGGAGGTCTAGCTTGGTGAACACCTGCGCCCCTTGCACCCGCTCCAGCAACTCCGAAATAAGGGGCAAGGGGTACCAGTCTGGGATGGTAATTTTGTTCAGGGCCCGGTAATCATGGCAAAGGCGAAGCTCCCCACATTTCTTCTTAACGAAGAGCACTGGCGCAGCGGTGGGCGAGGTAGAAGGCCTAATGAAACCACGCTCCAGGTTCTTGTGCAGGAAGTCCTGCAAAGCTTCGCGCTCTGGCTCTGTTAGAGAGTATAAGCGACTCACCGGCAGGGGCGCTCAGGGCTGGAGGTCTATGCCGCAGTCAAAAGACCGATGCGGTGGCAGCTGGTCTGCCCCCCGTTCCTCGAACACGTCTTGGTAGTCCCGGTACTCGGCGGGGAGCGTGGATGCAGCCTCCTCAGTGGGTGCGGCTGCTAGCATCTCGGACCGAGCATGGGGACATGGGTCTGGGAAGTGCACAGTCCGATTGACCCAGTCACTCTGAACATTGTGAGCCTCCAGCCAGTCCATCCCGAGCACCAGGGGGAACCGGGGCATGGAGGCAATGTCCAAAGTTCGCACCTCCCGGTGCTGCTGGACACACAGGACCAAGGGCTGGGTCTCCCGAGTGATGGCACCCGAACGCAGGAGCCGTCCGTCAATTGCCTCCACCTGTACTGGTTCTGGCTTGTTCTGAAGTGGCACCTGATGATGAGTGGCAAAGGCAGTGTCCATATAGGAGCGAGTTGCCCCCGAATCTACCAGAGCGTGGGTAAGAATCCAGGGCCCACCTGGAGGGTAGAGACGCACCGGAACCATGAGATGTCACAATTCCACTGGTGAGGGCCCCTCTTGCATGGTTTGGGACCCCAGGTTGCTAGGGCCTTCGGCTACCGAGGTTGGCAGTTTTCCTGCGACTGGCATCTTCTCGGGACAGGATCGGGTGTAATGTCCACTCCCACCGCAGTAAAGACACAGGTTCCCCTCCCGACACCGCGTCTTCTCCGAGGGGGAGAGGCGAGGTCGCACAGCCCCGAGCTGCGTTGGCTCGTCCGGCAACTCGGCTGTGGGCGTGGACCTGCTGGGAAGGACTGGAGCCAGGAGCCGGGGGTGCTGGCGTTCCCGGGCCTGGCGACCGTCCTCCAACCGATCGTCTATCTGCAGGCTCCGCTGAATAAGGGCGTCCAGTGTGGTGGGACGATCCATCATGGCCAACTGGTCCAGTATCTCATCCGACAGTCCCTCAAGATACTGGTCCTGAAGTGCAGAATCATTCCAAGACAAGTCTTGCGCCAACAGCCGAAATTCCATGGTGTAGGCGGCTGCAGTGGACTTGCCCTGTTTCAAACACCTAATTGCCCGGTTGGCTTGACTCTCCTTCTGGGGGTTGCCGAATGCGGCCTCCAAATGGTTGCAAAACCCCATATAGTCTGTCAGCAAGGGGGAGTCTTGCCTGAGCAGTGGCAATGCCCACTTGGCCACCTGGTCCTTTAACAAACTGATCAAAAAGTGCACCTTGGTGCGGTCGTCAGGGAAGTTCCGGGCTCGCCCCTGAATATACAACTTGGCCTGGGCGAGGAACATGGGAAAGCTGGCCGGGACCCCATCAAATTTCTCTGGCAAGGCCACTGGGTACTTGCCTGGAGCTGGGGCGTCAGACACAGGAGCCGGTAGGGCGTCCAACCGCTGCTGAAGTGCCGTAACCGCATCGCTGAGCTGCTGCACGGTGTGAGTCAAGGCCTGGTTCTCCTGGGCCAATGCCACCAGCGCAGCTGCCTGGTCGGCCATGGCTTCTGGCTTTTCCCGAACGCACCCCAACGAAGGGGGAGTGCGGGTGTGGCGGGAGCAAACTGTGCTGGTCCAAGGGGGAGGTTACCATGGGGCGAGGTCCAGGACCTGAGTTGAGGGTCGGCAGACAGTCCTCCTCGGGCGAAGCGGGGTCCACAGCGAGAAGCCGGGCAAGGACAGGAACTCTGGGGGAACAGGACTGGATGCTGGCCGAAACAGCTCTTCAATGACGTTGCTCCCGCAACCTGGGACATGGCTGACTGGCCTTTATCTTCTCTGAGGCCAGGGGCGGTCCTGGCCCCCAGGAGACCCGCCTCTCCTGGCCTTAAGGCGAGCACTCCTCCTGGGAGAAACCAGTTCCCTTCGCCTCTCTGCCCTGAGCCTCTGCAGTTCAGGAGAGGCTGAAGGGTTACTGGACCCAGGGGGAGACTCACCTGTAGGCACTGAGTCCTCAACCATCTCCGGAGCCAGAGTGGATTCACCTGGTGCCTGCTCCTGAGAATCCGGCACAGGTGCAGGCGCTTCAGTTCAGCCGGCCCTGGAGGCAGGGACTCCTGTGCAGGCTGGGATTCCTCCGGTTCAGCCTTTGAATCGGATTCCCAGGCCATCACAAAATGGCAAATTTGAGACTGTTCAGGATTTTCAATTTTTTAGTACAGTTTCCCCATGCCAGTTTAGTGCTTTAGTTTGTCTTAAGGGGATACTGTTTAGGAGACAAAAGTCCAGAACTCCCTTCGTCTGAAGTTATCAAACTGTAAGTATGGGAAAGCGATGTGCAGACATGTCCAAAGCCATCAAATAAATATTATATGCCTTCATGGTTCCTATTCAACCTGGGGGGAAATGCATACTGTGCAAAACAAAACATAAAAACTGGATAGTAGGAAAGAAATGGTTACCTTTTGGCAAGCTGTAAAAACAATATTCCTGCAGTGATCTCTTTCTTGAGCTAAGCCCAGTTTATTACTGTTTTTCTCCTTATCTGATGCAACACCAATCTTCCAATAAATAAATAAAATTAAAATTGCAACATTTATCTTCATAACATTCTGCTCCAGTATTCTTACTGCTGCACTTTGTTAAATGATGCAAAAAAGAAACAAAAGCTACGGTTGAAAACAAGAAGAAGGAAGAAGTCTTGGGGCAGCTTTTAAGTTTCTAAGTCTTCTGCGTAGTTTCAGCCTTTTCACTGACTCCTCAACAGAAGCCACACAACACACATCTCATTATCTCAATTTCTGAGCATCTATATTTATTCCTTGTGAAAGACTAATCAAGTTCCCTTTCTATTTGCTGGTATAAAAACAGAACAGATGACTTTATTGGTGCAAATATATTACAGCTGCCCTGACATTTATGTTTTCAACCGTGATAGCTGAATTATTTCAATCGAAGTAAATCATGTGCACAAGACTAATGGTGTAAAGCGCCACAATAGGGTATTTACTCCCACTCTGGCAAGCGATTGAGAGTTTCAAATAATTTTAAATTTGACTTTTAATATGATTCTCCACCCCTAGAAGCGTTAACCTTAGGATCAAACACAAAATATTCCTATGACGGGTGGGAAGCTTCAGCAGAAAGGAGGCCAAATTTCAAAAGCGTTGCTTCTCTCCACAACCACTGAAAATCTTCACTGTATATTACTTCTTCATGTTCCTCCCCTCCCTTCTCCCCATCTCCATCTCTACCACTGCCCAGTGACTACTTCATAGGGAGTAATTCTTTCTGAATGCTGTACCCTCTGACTGTATCTCAGTGAAGGAATGGTGTTTTTAAATGAATCAGTGATCCAGTATTTTGGTATATTACCTGTCCCTTCCAGAGTCTTGTCTGTAGATAGTGCCCTTGGTTGGTTCAAAGGTTTTGTTTTCCCATCAAAGTTAGTTGCATGGTCCCATTGAAATAAATGGAGCCTATGTTAGTAATTGTTAAGTTGTGCTTAGATTTCAGTGCGCTTGAAGTTCAACAACCTAGTTGAAATGC